AAAAGTTAATGAATTATCTGTATCTTTTGATATTTTGTCAAGTTCTTTAATTACGTTCTGTCTCTTTTTGCTTATCTCTTCACGTTCTTTTTTAGTTAACTTTTCATCATCACTAAGTGGTTCTAAAATCATCGTTCTTCTCATCGGAAAATATGGAATACCAAAACGACATATAATACAATCTTTCACATGTTTTTTACAGGTATGTGAGTGCTTATGACGTTGCAACTTGATAAGTTCTTCGGAAAATTCTGTTGGCTTACAATTAACCGAAATCAGTTTATCAATAAATTCTGTACATCTTTCAATTGATTCAGGTTTATCTTTGTCGTATTTCGGAGCATTTTTCAACCATAATAGAGCATGAATATGTGGCGAGCCACGGACTTGGAATTCAACTCTGACATATTTATCTTCTAATTCATAGCCTTGAAATGGACCATAAGGAGCTGATAATATTTCCCATAAAAATTTTAATCTATGTTCAAAATAACGAACGCATGTTACAGGATCATTTCTTATCAAATCACATTTCTTTTCATAGCTCATGTTTTCTGCTTCCTCTAATGTTATTACTTTATTTTCCAACACTTGAGTTAATATTACAATTAGTTCTGACCATTTTGTCTCTGCTGCCGATAATGTTAGAAAAATGGTTGGACATCCTAACTGCCTAATCATTGCCATAACTTCTTTTTTTTTTAGTTCCCAGAAAGCTGGTGAAGATCGATCACATCTCAAGAATGCAAAAGCATCATTATTGTGTATTAGACCATTCACATAATCTCGATTGAGCATTTGCGCAACTGTTACATTGCTCGTATTTTTTGTTTTTCTTAAATTTATTGAAATAGCGTCACAAAACTTTCTTGTTTGGAGTTTCTTATATGTAAAAAATAGTTTCGAGACTCTACCACATCTTCTATCAAACATTCGAAGCTCTGACTTAGCAATTTTAGCATAAGTTAATTTAGTATTTTCTTTAATTTTTCGTTGTTTTCCACAATAAATTTTCGGAAATGTCAACTCGTCAACTTTCAAGTCCATCAAAATAGATATCGGTCTGTTATTCTCGGCTGGAGCAAATTTGATACCGGTATCATTTTGATCGGCAATTTCATCATTTAATAATGTTTCAGTAGCTCCTGGATTGATTGGCTCGTCGTCACACTCATTCCAGTTATCATCATCGTCAGAACCTTTTGTGTTTTCATTCTCATTAATTTTTTTATCTTCATCATTAACGATAAAATTTTCTGTTTCGCTGAAGTGCTGATTTAGCCAATCATTAGATATAACAATCCCTTCATCTTTATAAAGTTCTTGTTCAACAAGATATTTAACAGCTGTATGTACGACTTTTGGTCGAATTGTTTCGTACATAAAAGCATTTTTATTTTTCATTTGTCTCATGAGTTTTAACTGAATTGTTTGAGTATCACTAAAAGTTCTGGGTAAGATTGAAACGTTTGTGTCAATATTCATCGGAACATTTACAAGGTTACCTTTGAGACCAAATTGTTTAGAATAACCTAAACTTCGAATTACCATAAAAGGAATTCTCGGTGATATTAATCTTTCTTCTAATTCAGTTAAGGTTTTTAAACAATCCGGTATTTCATAGAATGCTAAACCATTAGATAGACAGAGATTAGGTACTTTATTCAACATGATGTCCTTTCTGCATGTAACACATAATTTGATGATTGTATTTTTGAGATAACAAACTGTATCGATAAATTCTTTTTTTAATCCTTTATTTGTTAACATCTCAACTGTAAATTCTCTGACTGAATACTCAAACCATAAACCACCACAACAGCTACAAATATGAGTAGGCCCTTCCTTTATTTTTAACTCATAATTTGATTTCATGACATCAAAGTTATTTTTGTATTTATCTCTATTATTTTGCATTCTCAATGCATTTCTTCTTCTTTCTTCCTCTTTGTATTCTTCCTCTTCACGTTTAATTTTAAGAGCTTCTGCTCTTTTTTTGTTTTCTTCAGTTTTAAATTCATCATTTTGTCGTTCAGTTTTATGAGCTTCTGCTCTTCTTTTATTATCTTCTGTTTTAAATTCA